AAAAAAAAAAAAAAAAAAAAAAAAAAAAGAAAATCTTCCCCCAAGACTGGGGCAACTCTGTGCAGGCTTGGGGATCAAGCAAAGCCTCCAGGCTTAATATTAGTCAGAGCCTGGAAGCCAAAGTGCAGAGGGCAGGGGGAATACACATCATGCCCCCTGCTCCCTCTCAAGATACCCCCGTCCCCACCGCCAGAAACCTCACACCATGCTGGGTCTCCAGGAGTCAGGGCCCTGGGGCCTGGGACATTTAGGATCAGATCTGGGACTAGAGTAACAAACTGAATTTTAAAAATAAAAGCACTGAGGGGGGTGGGTGGGGGGATGGGGTGGCCAGGTGATGGATGCTGGGGAGGTATGTGTGGTGGTGAGCACTGGGTGTTGTATAAGACTGATGAATCACAGACCTGTTCCCCTGAAACAAATAATACATTATATGTTAATTAAAAAATAAAATAAAAGCATTTAATTCTTTAACTATCTAGTCTATATGTTTCTGAGTCATATAATTAGTCCCAAATGATCTGTCCACTAAGAAAAAAAGAAAACAGATCTAGAACTTAAGTTATTACTAAGTACTTTTTCAACAAATAATTAAGACATGGTAAGGCCACAAGTTTCAAATGAGTGACAGAATAATGAAGGCTCTTTTTACAGTGGGATAAAGGGTCAATTTGAAGGAGTTAACTGATCTTCCAAAATCTCTTTCCTTGTGTAACAAAGTTTCAAGAAATAAAATGGTGTCTTTCTGTCCTCTTTGTAACACCACACACATTCCTAGAAGTAATTCAAATTACAGCTCCATTTGTGTGCCTACAGAGTCATCTCAGGTGCAAGCAGCAGTGACTCCTAGAAGTTCGAAGAAACAGACAACCTATAGTCCATTCCTTAGAGCTCAAGCCAAGTGGACAAGTGACCAGTGGAATTTAAATGTCAAAGGATTTCCCTTCTTTTGTAGTAGGGCCCACGTATTTTTAGATCTGCTGAAAACACATTACGACTATTTCAAAAGCATCATCCCTTTCTGACATGGCTCACAACTATCATCTGTGGCACTGTCTCCACTGGCTCGTATGGCAGCACAACCAGTCACAGAGCACCTGTCAACCATTCCAAACGGCGCTTCTCAGCACATAGTGCAAAGCGCAGGTCTTGTACATGGAAATCTGTTCAACCGAAGGCCTCGCTCTTTTACTCTCCAAGCACTTCTGCTTTTCTGCTCAAGTGGATCACATCTACTTTCATTACAAAAGTTGGTTAAAGTATTTTTCTAAATATGAAAACAGAAGGACACCCATACACAATTTCTCCACCTTAATATAATCCACAGTATTTCCACGTGGTCATTTTCAGTGGTTATTTTTCCTTTTCATAGAACTTAAAATGTTTTCTTATTTCAACAGGTTAAATACTAATACATACTTCTGTATTCTCTGCTTTTCACCTAACATTACATCTTCCCAGTGCTGTGCTAGGGTCCAATATGGCTATTTAACATTTTAATTAAAAATCGGCCACACGTGGGCGCCTGGGCGGCTCAGTGGGTTAAGCCGCTGCCTTCAGTTCAGGTCGTGATCCCAGGATCCTGGGATCCAGTCCCGCATCAGGCTCTCTGCTTGGCGGGGAGCCTGCTTCCCCCTCTCTCTCTGCCTGCCTCTCTGCCTACTTGTGATCTCTGTCTGTCAAATAAACAAATAAAATTAAAAAAAAAAAAAAAAATTGGCCACACCAGCCACATTTCAAGAGCTCAAGGACATGTGTAGCTAGTAGCTGTTGTGCAAATATAGGACATTTCTGTCACTGCAGAAGTTCTGCTAAACAATACTGGCTTAGATTCTCTCCCATGTTGGACTAAGCAGAGTCATAGACTCAGCAGAACCCACGCACCCTCCTCCCTGTACCTGTGGACTGTATGAGACACTCCCCCTCACACCTGCAAGACGGGATGCTAAGCAGAGCCACTCTGAGACAGCA